GCCCTGCTCTCTATTCACTCTTTCTTTAATTAAATAACAATAGCAGGCAGACAGGTTAGGTAAATAAAACAAAATAACTCAAAACTACTGAATCATTTCCAAAATGACTGTATTTATACCTCATTTTGACACTGTTTTAATAAGAACCCATTTCCTTTTCTTTATAGTTCTCACAGAAAGAAGAAAATTGTTACATGCATGCACAAATTTATTTGGTAAACTCTTCAACATGTCATCTATGCAAATCCATAGGAGTAGGGACTTCCACTGATTCTTTGAAACCATATTTTATTTATGAACAGGCACATAAATGTGTTTAGGTATTTGATAAATGGTTTCACATGAGTAAATATAGAAATTAAGGAGGTCAGTAAAAGATTTTAGAAAGACGTATTTTTGACAAATTCCTGGAAATAAAAATACCAAAAGAGAAATGATGTGACCTAGGTCTATTCATAGGAAAGTAGAAATTAAATGGTTATAGTGCTCTGTACTAGATTATATTTTCCATAGAGTTGGGTATTTGTGTATTTGCTTTCAACTTTCTTTTAAGAAATGATTTGTGGTTTGGTGGTGGTGACGCATGCTTTTAATCCCCATTCTAGGGAAGCAGAAGCAGGTCTATTACTGCTTCTGTAAACCAAGGCCATCCTGGTTTACAGAGCAAGTTCTAGGACAGCCAGGGCTACACAGAGAAACCCTGTCTTGAAAAACCCCAAGAAAGGAAGGAAGGAAGGAAGGAAGAAAAAAGGAAGGAAGGAAGGAAGAAAAAAGGAAGGAAGGAAGGAAGAAAGAAAAATGATTATTGATTTAAACTCTTCAACATCACCGTGTGTCTTAGTCAGGGTTTCTATTGCTGTGATAAGCACCATGACCAAAGGCAACTTGGGGAGGAAAGGGTTTATTTCATCTTACATATTGTAGTCCATCACTTGGGGAAGTAAAGGCAGGAACCTGAAGGCAGGATCTGATTCAGAGGCCATGCCATGGAGGAGTGCTGCTTACTGGCTGGCTCCTCATGGCTTACTCAGCAGTGTTTTCCACAGTGAGCTGACCCCTCCCATATCAACCATTAATCAAAAATATGTCCCAGAGCTCTTCCCACAGACCAACCTGGTAGAAGCATTTTCTTTATTAAGTTTCTCCCTTCCCAAATGACTATGGCTTGTGTTAAGTTGACATGAAAATAACAGCACACAAACCTTTTGATGTTCACTTTTAACAGCCAATATAAAAATTTACCCTCTTTTCTAAAAGTAAAAACAATAGTAGTAGAGTCTGTAAAATGCAGGAATGATAAGATTCTCTCTCTGTGTCTCTCTCTCTCTGTCTCTGTCTCTGTCTCTGTCTCTGTCTCTGTCTCTCTCTCTCTCTCTCTCTCTCTCTCTGTGTGTGTGTGTGTGTGTGTGTGTGTGTGCAGTTGATCACCTATTTTTGTGGATGCATGTGTGTGCATCTGAATGTTGATGGCCAAAGAACGATGTCACGTGCCATCCTTCATACATATCCACCCCATTTTTTGTGATGGTCTCTCACTGGACTGGGATTTTCCAGGGAGTCTAGGCTGGCTCCTGGTGACATCAGAGAATTCATCTGTTTCAACTTCCCTCCTTGGTGGTAGAATCACAGGCATGGCCCACCACATGGCTCTTCACATGGAGTTTAAGATTTGAACACAGGGCTTTATGCTTGCATGGCAGACACTTTAGCAACTGAGCTTCAGTCCAGATCCTGAACTTATTCTTAATAAAAACTATCTGATATTATTAACCCATACTTGCATTCAAATAAATTTTCTACAAAGATTTATGGTGTGTGTGTGTGTGTGTGTGTGTGTGTGTGTGTGAACTGTGCAGTGCTCAAGGAGTCCAGAACAGGGTGCCAGGTTCCCTGGAGCTGCAGTTGTGAGCTGCCCAATGTGGGTGCTAACAATCAAACTCAGGTCCTCTGGAAAAGCACTCATAACCTTTGAGCCATCAAAAAAAATCAAATAGATATTTATGTGCATTTTACTTTAGCTTACTTTCTTCAAAGACATGTATGCAAGTGAAATAAATTTATTTAAATGTTGAAAGATGCACTAACACCGATTAGAACACAGGAAAGAATGGATGAAAGAGGAGGTATATAGACAGGAATCATAATTTGCAATAAGTAGGAAGATGTGATCTGAGAGAAAAGTTGCTTCATTTTCATATTGATGTTTCAGGTTCCAGGATGAATATACTGGAAAATTCCTGATGTTGTCATCTGTAAGGTTGGAACAGAATTATTTAATATATTTAAGATAATACATGCTATTTGATGAGAGTGGAAAATAAAAGAAATACAAGCTATTAAACAGACAAACAATGACAAGATGTAGCATACAAAAACATTTTATAAGATTTTGTATGTTAGGGAATATGCATGAATTTTTTATTGAGGTTTTCCATATACAGAAAAGTTCAATATGATAAATGATCTTATATCAAGATCTAAATTGGGATTTCTTAGAACATATGTGTTTGAGTCTGTAGTTTCTATGAATCTAAACTAAAATTATAATTTTTTTGTTTCATGTTACTTTCATATGGGGGTTTACCAAGACCCATGTACCCTATAGTAGGAGTTTCACTCAAGGGTCCAGACAATAGCTGACTCTCAGAGGAAGACTAGGGGTAGAGCTTACATCCCTCAATATCAGGCCCACAGAGGAGAATGCCACCTCAACACTAGTAAGAATTAGTCCAATTCTGGATATTGTCAATGTCTTCATTGAAAGAAGGAAAATGACCTAAAATAAGTATATATAATTTGGAAAAGAGATACAATTGCTAAAGAATAATCAAACTAGTAAATGTAGATCTGAAGATGTGGAGAAATGGACATGGACTCTTCACTCTCGTCCTGCAAAAGCCTCAACTCCAGATAGATCAAGAAGTGTGACATAAGACCTGGTAGTCTGAAACTGATAGAGGAGAAAGCAGGAAGTGTGCCTTGACCATAGGCACAGGTGTGGACCCTGAATAGGATTCTAGTAGCAAGGAGATAAGACCAGAAATGGTGAGATATCACAGTATTAAAATCTACAGCAAAAGAATCTGTCAATTAAATGCAGAGGCATCTTAGGGAATGGAGAAGATCTTTGCCAGCTACACATCTGATGGAGGATTAGTGTCTCCAATATACAAAGAACTTAAACAAAAAACTGTGAACATCAAACAAACAAGAAGTACAAAAACTGGAAACAGAATTCTCGTGTGACCTAGCTACACTATTTCTAGATATGTACCAAGGAGTTTAATATTTCTTCCAGAGACCATTGAATGTCCATGCTCATTGCAGTTCAGTTCACAGTAGCTAGGAAATGAAATTGATCTAGATGTTCATCAGCTGATTAATGCATAAGGAAAACTTTGTAATATATAAAATGGAATATTACTCAGCCATAGAGAAAAATGAAATCAAGAAATTTGTAAGTAAATAGAAGGATCTGGAAAATATTATACTCAATGAGGTCACTTGGGCTCAGAAAGACAAACTGTGCATGTTCTATTTCACATGTGGATCTTAGATTTGAATCTTTAATTTTGTAAGTTAATTTGGAGTTGTGTGTATAAGCCAGGTAATTAGAAACAGGTCATTAGGGGCAGACCCATCAAAAGAGGGGTGATAATGAAATGTCATTGAAATGAAAATATAAAGAAGAATACTGGGGCTGGAAGGTTCAATCATGAAGCCAGATGTGGAATGGGGAAATCAGACCATGGTGGAAGGTTTAACTAAAATAAAGGGTTAATAAAAATCCACATGGAAACCTATGACCTTATAACTAAAGTATAAAATGTAATTAGACTGGAAAATGGAACACAGGCGACATGGAAGATTAAGGGTGGTTGCTGTGAGTTAAAGGATCAGGTGTGGATGTGATTGGGGCATAGGGAAGAACAGGGGTAGAGCTGGGTCAACCAAAACTACAGAAATATACTAGTTTGTAAGCTAATTAACAAAAAGGAGAGATTCATCAGAGGAATCCTGCAAAGATACAATACTGTTTCTGGATGACATGGGTTTCTCAATGAAAATCTAATTTCCAGGCATGGGGTACCATCCTATCATTTATTAGTGAAGGGAGGCTCTGGAGTCACCAAAACAACTTGGCTATTGCCATATCTCTTGGTTGTTTACCAAAACTAAATGATAGGACACCCTTGCTGAAGACACTACTACATGCTGTGGTTGCAGGGCATCAAAAAATCAACCTCAAATGGACTAGGAAACTCTTTCCCTGCCGGCTGGCTTCCACAGTGCTTGGAGGTACTCTGTAGGCTGTGTACGTTGTGTTAGACATTGATGATGTCATCACAATATTCTTGCAAGCTTCAAAAGCAGCCTTGAGGCCCCTGGAGCAATAAAGGCCATCCTGGGGGAACCAATCACTTTCTGATTGGATTTGATGCCAGCTCCATGGAAGGGAATCTCACATCTAGGGAAGGACAGGGCTAGGGATGGGTTTCTATTTTATTCCTGTCAAAGCCCAAGACAATGGAGATCATGGAGTCTAAGGGAGAGGCCAGTGATGATAAACTGTTATGTTCCCAAGCTACCATCTTTAAAATACTCATAGATTTTTGCTGCCTTAAACTTTTTTCAAGTCAGTTTTTTACTTTATTTTATTTTAATTTTAATTTTTTAGACAGGGCCTCTGGCTGTCCTCAAACTCACAGGTGTGAGTTGAGATTAAAGGTGTGTGCTTCCACATTTGGCCTCAGGTCAACTTTTTACAGTGAAGAGTGGTTCATGCCGAATTTCATAGCTGGTCAAAGTGCTGAGGTAAGAGTGGATGCTCAGCCATCAGTGGTCATCTGGGTCGGGAGGAGGGTAACACAAAAAATGTGTGTGGGAGTGGATAAGATCAAAATACATTATATACAAATATGAAAATGTTAAAGAACAAATAAAATATTAAAAAACACAAGTTAATTAAACATCAAAATATAAAATGAATGTGCTTTGACTCACCTAATGTTAATGTTGCTTGGACAGGTGTCTAAAAGAGAGTGAACATGGAAAAATGATATTATTTTTATTTTAATAATAATACTATTAAAGTAATGTGTTGTTTTAATATAACAATATTATTTAAAAGGATATATTATTTTAACATAATATGTTAATATCATTACTAAATATGAGTTATTTTCATAAAAATGCAGATAAAAAGCTAGGCTTTGAGCAGAATATCTGAACAGATGATCCTAGGAGCCAAGTTTCATTTTAGATAGTTTTTTTTTGTGTTAATGGCTCATTGGTGCACCCATGGTCATGAGAGTGAGTGTACATGCATTCATGTATAGGCAAGAGGTTGACTTTTTAACATCTTCCCTATTTATTCTATACATTAGTATTTTTGAAACAAGATCTTTCATATAGATCTGTTGCCAGAAAGCTCCAGGGCTCCTTCTGTCCCCACTCCTTCCCAGCTCTGGTGTTCTTGGTTTTCTACATGGGAGCTGGATCCAAACTGAGGTTCTCATGCTTGTGTGCACTTTCCCCCAGAGCCATCTTCCCAACACCTCAGTAATTTAAAAATGACATTATGAAAATGCAAAATGAAAAGTCACATATGCAGGTTTCTATTTTACCTGTGTCCAGGATGCGTTGCACATTCTCATCTTCAATACCAATTTCCTCCACGAAGTCCATGTACTGTTTCATCTCATCCTTAGTCAGAAGTTTGGTCTTTGCTGCATTTCATAGTGTATAAGGAAGAAGATGTCACAACTTTAGCACCCAGCTTAGGTTCCTGAAAGTGCCAATGTCACTCCTGTTTCCACCATTAGATTGATTATGTTCAAGTACATTCTTCTTCTGAGAAATTAAAATACTGGGTGGATTCCAGGATGTAACATACCATGTTTTCCTGTTCTTGTAGTATCATCATTTTTTGTGGACCTCAACATAGTGAACTCCTACACAGCCTCCAAAGCAATTCCAGAAAACTATGATTTTGACTATCATTACTGTATATCATTATTTTGTTTCCATTTATGTTGTAGAATCTATTCCTAGGGGTTCTTGATGCTTCCTCACATGACAGACCAATTAATCTGAAATTGTCGTAAATATGACTCAGTGGTTAAGAATGCTTAAGGACCTAAGTCCACACACATGGTGGTGCATGACCAGTGGTCATATCGTGGCCACTATATGCACCAAGCACACACATGGAGCACTTAAATGGTAGGTAAAACAATTGGACTTAAAAAAATCAAACCTCTGCTAATGAGAAACATGCCTCAAATGAAATACAATCTTTTTTATTAATTTCAGAAATAAAGGTTTAATTCTGGTAGGAAATGAGGGTATCATACAAAACTCCAGTGTATTTGATGACAGGATTAGGAATTTGTCAGGTCAAGAGAGTTTGCATCTTTGAGAAACTGAATTTTGTGGAGAGAATACAGTACAGTTAGATTTTAAGCTATGTGATAATTGAGATTCACAAGTCAAGAATTGTAAAGATTGCTTGAAACAATAATGCTGAAAGCCAGAGCATGCAGTTGATATGAATTCAATCAACAAACCCACTTAATGTGGTCAAGTAATATTTCATTTCCTACTTTGTTAGTAGACGGAAAGCCCAGACTACCCTGAGGTGAGTACACGATGATTGGTTGATGTATAATTCAAAACTGCTGCAAAAAGATGTGTGGAAATTTCATTCAAATCTTGTATGTCCCCAAAGAAAAAGCTTTTATTTATATTTAACAGAGAAACCCTCAATATCTCAACTTTTTTGTTCAATATTCTGACCAAATGTTTTGACCAAAATAATTTACAGGAGAAAAGGTTTGATTTCTGCACTAATTCCCTAGTTATAGCAATTTAATTGGGAAAATTCCAGTGCAAGAAATTTTGGGGAGCTGACACACCACATCCATAGTCAGAAACAGAGAGCAAAGAATGACACTCCCATTCTGTCATTCAAGACACTCCCACAGATATGCTCACAAGCTAGTCTGATGTAAGGAATCTCTCACTAAGACCCTTCCTGGAGGATTCTGGGTTGTGTCAGTTGACAGTTGAAGCTCACAGTACATCATCCTCCTGCTAGAGAATGGTGCTGCTCACAGTGAGTGGAGCCTTCTTATGTAAACCATCAACAAAGACACCCCCACAGACCAGTCTGCAATGGGAAATACCCCAATGAGACCCTTCCCAGGGGATTCTGGATTGTGCTAAATTGATCATCAAAGTTGACTATCACAGCTTCAGCAGTTTATCAGCATGAATAATGGAGTCAGATGTATGAACATACTTCGAACTTGGTGCATAGTGATGCACACTCACCCATGTCCTTGAACAACACTCTTGATTGATGAATTCCACATCTGATACTCACCCAAAACTCCAGCCACACGTGTGACTTTGCCCCGAATGTCCTTGTTAAAATAATGAAACAGCAGTATCTTCTCAGTCACCTTCTTTACTATGAATGTTGTTTTCCCTTCATCTGAGACAGATAAGAAATATGGAAAAAGTATAAATACATATAAGATTATAAAATGACTGTCCAGGCTCATCCACACCACATCCTTATCAATGCACAGATGGATAATACAGTGTTTGTCTAATAATATTCTGCTCCACGTGTTCCAACCAATCAAGACAGACAGGGAATTAAGAAAGCAAGTTCATACTCCTGCTGTAAGATATGAAACATATTTAGTATCCCACTGCTACCTAGAAATATGTAGAACCTATATTGATTTGGGATAGCGATGTTCCTGCTACCAGGATGTGTAGGTACACAGATGGTGTCATACTGTAATGCTCTTACTTTCTGAGGATAGCTGTGTGATTATATGTATCATGTGTGTGTAACATTGAGAACAGCTGTATGGCTGTGTATAATATATGATAACATATATTACATATGTGCATTTTCATGGATCTGATTACATTTAGTGGTGCAGTTATCTAACTTTAGTAATTCTTCTTCAGACACAAGTCAGAAACTGGAGAGCATGCCACATAGCGAAACAAGGGAGCATGCCATATAACAATTTCTTCCAAACTGCAACATTCTGTATTGGAAGCTCATGAGATTCAAGAAGTAAATAACCCACAAGTCTCAGGAAATTTTTGAAAACACAACTTCCAATAGGCTACTGCACAATGTTATGGCAAACAGCAAACAACTGTTGAGGAAAGATGCTCTCTGACTAGTCTAGCTGCCTGTTGTTAGCTTTACTTATACAAAGCTCCAGGGGTGCAACTTTCAGGAGTGTCCCCAAGTTGGGGTTGGCTCTTCAGAAATGCAGCCTTATCTGAGTCCCACATACTCTTGTACATGACTCCAATACACTCGCTGCTTCACTAACATTCCTTGTTAAAGAGGGAAAGGGACAGACGTAAGACTCCCCCACCCCCCGCCCTGTGATAAGATGACTGTTCTTTCTCATGTCAGTGCTTAGTCATTTTCCTTCTGAGACCGGTCACACTATGTAGCCCTGATTGGCCTGAAACTTGCTGTGTAGACTGGGCTGGCTCCAAACTCACAGAATTCCTCCCACAATTACACAATACACAAGATGGGATGGGATTTTTGGTGAGATGTCTGCCTGAGAGTTGAGTCTGCTCCTGTATTTAAGTCCAATAAATTCATTGATAAACTGAGCTAGAATCAGGGGCATGGTCAGTTTTATTGTATTGGGTTAAATAGATCCTTTATGGTGGAATAGTAAATATTAAAAGTATTCTTATGCCGGGCGTTGGTGGCGCACGCTTTTAATCCCAGCACTCGGGAGGCAGAAGCAGGTGGATCTCTGTGAGTTCGAGGCCAGCCTGGTCTCTAGAGCGAGTGTCAGGATAGGCTCCAAAGCTCCACAGAGAAACCCTGTCTCGAAAAACCAAAAAAGTATTCTTACCACCTGTTTTATTACAAATTAAACTGATACCTTTATTGCTTATAAATGGATCTCTGAATATTTTAGATCATATTCCTGTCAGAATTAAAAAGATAGGACTATTTGTGGTGAATAGTACATTTACATATTATAAATGATTTTTCTCCCCAACAAAATTATAAAATTTATATAGTTCATCATTCTCCATTATAAGATTCATATTTGAAAATTGTTGGGAATAATTTTAATCAATGATGAAATCCTAGGTCTTATTTTGCATTGTTAGTTTTTTAAATGCTCAAATTGCTTTTTGATTCTTTTAACCATTCTCAAACTGGTGTCTGTGATTTAGTTTAGGCATAAAGCTACAGGATGGAAGTTTGCCTGGTACAAACATACACACTAAATAAATAAAGTTTTAAAAAGTCACTTAAAAACAAAAATGAAAACAAAAACATTAACAACAACGACAACAAATCATGTCTGTTATTAGATCCAAAATAACTAGGAAGACATTGAAGAGGCTTTCTCTACAATTACATCTTTAATTTGTAGAGATGATTGAACTGGAATGTAGATATCCAGATATGCAAAATGCAACTGGGACTGTGAATTTAAAAAATGTATGGTCATGCATTCACCCTGGCATCTTCTACTCACAATCTGCCTGATAAAATTCTTGCTTTTTCTTTCCTGTGATTTCATACAGTCGGCAGTTGTTCCCTTTCCTGAAAAACAAATGCACAGATGTTGTCTTGTCTTGGATGGCTCCAGGGTCCTGATTTTGGATTCCACATAAATGAGAGGACAGTTTGATGCTAATAATGTTTTCTTCTGTAGATCTGTCATAAACACATGTTGTTGTATGACATCATTCCTAAATATAACCAATAGCACACTTAAATGTCATCAATCACCACGTTAGGGGTTTGCAGGTATCTGATGGCACAGAATCATCTCCTCTGTGTGACTCCTGTCACTTGTCCTGACCCCTTGCCGATGAATGACCTTGAACCCCTGATTTTCCCACCCCCACTCACCAAGCTCTGGGATAATGGGCATATAGGACCACACCTGTGTGCTGAGGATGGAGCCCTGGGATCTGT